GGAAAATGTCATGGTGTCATTTTTGACCTTAGGTCCCTGTTTGGGAACCGAAAATACATGAGTATACACCATAAATCAAAGGAAATAATAATAATAATAATAATAATAATAATAATAATAATAATCGACATTGGAATAAATCCTAAAGGGAATATTGTAGTTATTTTTATTTCTATTTTTAATATCATGTCTCTTATGGACGTAGGTAATCATACACAGTTTTTTTTCTTTATAATGTGTTGTTATTAGTCTTTGCAAAAATAGCCTAGTTGCCTCTTCCACAATTTTGAAATCAGAGCAGTTCATCTTCTAGTCAGGCTGCCAACCAAGGCTACAGTGCTCGGCTATTAAATAAATACAGCTGGGGTAGTGAAGAAATCTATTAATGTATTTCTCAAGGGCATTTGAACGAAAGTGAAAGCAGCAGGAGTAGCTAGTATTTGAATTCGGTTCACTTATTTCAGTTCTCGCGCCGTTACGTTACCCGCATGTGTTTTAATCTTTTAGACAGATATAAAGGTAATAATAATAATAAGTGAATCATATTGGGATAAAAGCCGGCGATAGGTTCATAATGAATGGCGTGACATCCGATTGAATGTAAGTGTGTGGCAACTGTAATGCATTTTTCCAGTCCCAGATATTTCAAGAGCCCGTCATTAGAGAAATGGATTATGGAAAAGAACCCAGAATGCGCTGACCTTGAACCAATATATTTGCAGAGACAATCAGTCACTATATCTCACTCAACAAATCGAATATTCGTCGTAGGGAGTCAAGGCAATGATACTGTTTCCTTGAACCTTTTTCTGCCGTGTTAGAAATAAATTCGATACATTTTTTGGCAGCTTCTTTGGCTGATTCTATTTACATAGTTGCTGTTGGTACATTTGTTCTCTGATCGACAGAATGCGTTTGCGTCTTGTTCGCCCGATGAGCGTTATTTAAAAGTGAAAATCAAAAGGCAGCCGCCAATTTCTTTACTCAATCGCACAACGTTTCTTTTAGCCGAAAGAAAAACAAAGAACAAAATAATCTAAAGGTACTTCTCGAAGTTGTGTGTGTGTGTGTGTTCGTGTGCAGAGGTGGGGGTAAAATAAAAGCAAAAAACTCCGAAAACAAAGATCCTCAAAGACTCGTGAAGGCTTTAAAGTGAAGATTCACGGAAACATTTTCCACGGCGGGAAAAAAACGAAATTTGACATCAGTGCGCAGAGTGGTTTTCGATATGCAAAACATAAAAGAAAAGAGAAGAAAAAATATATAAGAGAAGAAAGTAAACAAAACCCCGACTTTTAAGAAGAGAAAGAGAAGGTAAGACATAAAGAGAGAGCAGAACAATAGGAAATAAAAAGAGAATACAAAATAAGCCTATGAGTTAGAGAGCGAAAGAAGTGATAAGAGAATGAGATATTTAAATGAGTAGCTCGAGATTAGGATTAACGAAGAGAAACTGATTTGAACATGAAGCTGATAGTTGTGCCAATCGTTATCTAAGCACTGGGAATGGACCCAAATTGCCCGGATGGTATTAACTTTAATTTAGCGAAAGAGTAAGAACCACTTTGAATACGCTATTACTAAAAACATATAAACTACTAAAAAGCAGTGCTTTTATTTATCAATTTCCCACAAGCAAGGCGATGGTGCCACTAAGAATCAAGGTGTACTGGAGGGGGAGGCAGAGAATAAGAAGACTTTCGAAGGAACAGGAACCCAAATCCGAAACAGGAAACACGTGATAAAACTCTACTTTTTTTAAAGAAGAGCTTAGATGTGTGTTACCATTGTTGTAAAGTAACAACAACAACAACAATAATATTAATAATAAGTGCCTGAAAACCATACCACGGGTGAAGGATCCCTTGGTAGCAAGAACCTTTGGGATCCGTCGGTGGTTTTGTTAGCACGAAGTCACAAGTCATTGTGACCGTGGTTTTGAGCGTGCATGCTTTGTTCAGACAGTTGATCACGCGAGATAATTCGCACTCTTCAAGAAAATGTAATTAAGGTCCGATCAGCATATTTGCAATATAAACCACAGGTGGGCTTTGTGGGTGTTGAATAACCACAAATGTGCCTGAGCAGGCGTCTCCAGTAGGGATTAGTTAACTGCCCTAGTAGGCCGGCATCCTCGGATACGATTGACTGTGCCATGTACATTTTTTCTACATAATAAAAAAATATCAACTGAAATAAGATCAGTTGAAAATAAATCAAACATGAATAATAATGCCAAAGCTTTCTCTAAGAGATTCATAGATAGTTACTTGGTAAATTCATTCTAAAAAAATATTTACTACATTCATATAGATTCATAATATATATGTTTACGAAACCTTTTTTTAATCAGTTCATCCCAAGCAAGGGGTTAATGCCACTAAGATGCAAGATGGGCTTCAGGGAGTGAAGTTAGAACGAGAAAACATTAGAAGGAACTGGAAACCCAATCCTAATCAGGAAACAATGGATAAAACTATATATCTATATATATATATATTTTTATATTATAATATATATATTATATTTTTTTAATTTTTTTAATTATTTTTATTTTTTTTAATTTTTTTAATTTTTTTATTTTCTTATTGTTCAATATATATATATATATATATATATATATATATATATATATATATATATATATATATATGAAATTGACAAAGTCCGACAATTATTTTAAGACATTTTTAAAAAATGTTCTATAAAAAGAACGTATAGACATTAAAAAAAATGTCTTCAAATAATTGGCCAACATTTCACCATTTCATAATTTGTGACGTCATTTCTTTCCATTCGGATACGCATCGAGCAGATATGAATGTACGAGAGAAAATCGTGGAGAATTTTAGTTTCAAAAACTGTAAAATCGACCTTGCTACCCGAAATGTTCCTCTGTGGCTCAATCGGTAAAGCACGTCAGGCTATATGACGGTTTTGTATAGGATACAGGTTCGATTCTTGTCAGAGGACGCATATTTTCTATGGAAATTTCTCGGACATTCATGCCAGTAAATGTCGTTACTATTGTTTATTATAAACAGAGAATTTACTTAAATATTTGTATCTTTAAAAAGAACGTATAAACATGAAAAAATGTCATAAAATATATCCTTTTAAAAATGCCAGGTAAGAGTGTGAATCGGAGAAATGTTTTCATTTAATCTAAAATGTATGCCAACAATTCCCACTATTGTAAAGAAATAATAATAATAATAATAATAACAGCAGCCGTGATCAATGACCAGAAAATAGAATGTGCTTCTCTATTGATATACCAGTGCCTGCAGATGTTACTGTATCGTTGAGGATTTTCGGAAAAACTATCAAAACACAAAGATCTTGAAGTGGAAATTAAAAAATTGTGCCACATGAAGACATAAAAAATTCCAGCTGTTGTTGGAGCCTTCGAATTAATTAGAAAAGATTCTGATAGACCCACAGAAAGGATTCCTAGTAGCCTAAACCTTAATCAAAAAACAGAAAATGTACTCACAAGTATACCTCACTCATTCCGAAGAGCTTTATTTATGCATTTTTTTAAATGATCAATCAGGAAGACATTTTTGACCTTAGCTCTGTGGTTGAGACCTGGAAGGAAATGTGTATAAAACAGAAATCCAAGGAAATAATAATAATAATAATAATAATAATAATAATAATAATTAACTTTATCAATGATTATTAGTAACCCCAATGAAGTGGCAGAATGAAGCTCCCGAAGGTATTCCATATATCCTGCCGAAAACTGGTGAAAGAGGTTATCCGAAAAATCATAGGCCAATAACATGTCTGTCCACCACGTATAAATTGATCACGTCTGTCCTAGCGAACTGTACTTACTCTTTTCTTGAAGAAAACAACATTCTTCCCCTGGAACAGAAGAGATACCGGAGAGGTTCAAATGGTTGCAAAGATCATCTTTTGATGAACAAAATAATCCTGGCACATTGCAGGAAAAGATGTAGAAATCTCAGCACAGCATGGATAGATTATTGTAAAGCCATTGATAGTGTGCCACGCTCCTGGATCCTTAAGACTATGTTAATGTACAAAGTCTAATCGGTGATAGTAAATTGCCTTAAAGACAGCATAGGAATGTGGAAAACCAGATTATACCTGAATCCCACCTTAGGCAATGCCAGCTCGAACCGCCTGAATTTCCGACAAGGAATCTTTTAAGGAATCACCCTGTTACTCCTGTTTTGTCTTTCCTTAATCTCGCTTACGCATGAATTAAACAATAATATCTATGGCTACAAAGTAAATAAGAAAGTACTCAATCATCTATTCTATATGGATGATCTCTTTGCCAAAGACGGTAATGAGTTAAAGGATCTCCTCTACACTGTAAATTATCTCAGTGACGATATAGGTATGGATTTCGGATTAAATAAACGTGCAAAAAAAGGGAGAATTATAGTAACACAATCAATAGATCCTGATTTTGTCACAGAGATTAGGGAACTAGAACAAGAAGACGCCTATATAACCTATAACCTAGGAATTAGCGGAGGCGATGGAATACAACATACCGAAATGAAGAAGAAAGTAAGAAAAGAATACTATAGATGTGTGTATCTTGTATTGAATACCGAGTTGAATTCAGAAAAAAAAAAAATGTCAGCCATAAACACCTTGCTGGAATAATTTCAACCATAGCTGACATTAAGCGAATGGATACCAAAGCGAAAAAGTTTCTCACTTTCCACCGCATGCATCATCCCTAGGGTGATGTTGATCGTCTGTATGGGTCCATATCCGAAGGAGGCAAAGGATTAGTTCAACTAAGACTGTCTTAAAAAACTACAACACGATCAATATTTTCCTCGGTGGTCACCTTCAAGAATCTCCCTTATTCTTCTAAATTCAGCTGCCCACTTTTCCACTTCTGATAAAGCTGGAACATCGTCTCCTTATGTAACAAGCATTTGCGCATGAATGTCGTTGGGGCTTGTTGTAGAGTAAACGAAAAAAAATTTTCTTTTCCCGTGTGAGAAATGAATCCCCCGTCGCGAATGTTGTAGAGTAGTTTTCACAGTGGAGGCTTGTATTTCAATAAGTCGTCCTAAATTAGGTTCGACGTACAAAACGTTAGGAACTTGGAAATAAGAGTTAATGACGCAGCAATCTAGTTGTGATGGTTGATACTTCAATGTCTGACATCGACTGACTCGCTCAACACCACTGAGTATTTATCGTTCCACCCACGAGGACCGAATATGGCACAAGGCCGGTTTTAATGTGGGTATCCCCGAGCCCGGAGGCTCGGCCAAAAATATAGCCTTTGAACCCGCCTAGACGGGTTAAGGCCCTGTCTACCTCCCCGGACGAAACCTCGCCCTTCGGCAAAGCCTCGTCCGGGTTCCTCTCTGCTAACGCAGAGAGTTCGACAGAAGGCGCGCGCAGTCAAAGACCGCTCAACACCACTGGGTATTTATCTTTTCACCCACGGAAAAGAATATGGCACAAGGCCGGTTTTTATGTGGGTTTTCCCGAGCCCGTAGGCTCGGCCAAAAAAATAGCCTTTTGAAGCCGATTAGACGGGTTCAGGCCCTGTCTACCTCCCCGGACGAAACCTTGCCCTTCGGCAAAGCTTCGTCCGGGTTCCTCTCTGCTAACGCAGAGAGTTCGACAGAAGGCGCGCGCAGTCAAAGACCGCTCAACACCACTGAGCCCCACTGGCGACCGCTACTACTACTTATTATCTGTGAGAGAGTCTATTACAGTAGAATAGGTATTATGGTATATAACAGGGGTTAAAATCTTTTTGTGCAGGTACTTTATAAAACCATCATGCCAAGTTTTGTACATATTCAAGAGAAGTCAGTACTATTTACGTTTGAAGTCTTCTTTGAACAGCCATGTACCTGTTGACCTGTAAAGGAACAACACAGTTATTAATAAGAAGAGTTGAACTTAATGCATGCAAGATTTCATAGTTTCTATCATCATTCATTCATAGTCGAGCTTAGAAAGTTTTCCTTCATACTTGTATATCATTTTCATTTTCTTCCGTGTTCGCCCGTCTTTTTAATTATTAATTTTCCTTTCTGGCTTCCTTTCTTCCTTTGTATTTGAGGTCGTTATTATTCATTAAATTGTTAGTTAATTTGTTAAACATTACTTCTTTCTTTCCTTCTCATTTTCTGCTTTTCTTTCTTATTCATCATATCTTTCTTTCTTTCTTTCTTTCGTCCTTTCGTTCTTTCTTTCTTTTTTCTTTCTTTCTTTCGTCCTTTCGTTCTTTCTTTCTTTCTAATTCATCAGTTATTTCTTTTTCTTTATTCTCATTGCTTATTCATCGTTTTTTTTTACATTCTTTTTTCTTTCTTTCTTTTTTTGATTTTTTCTAATTCCCCAGCTGTTTATGTTTTTATTTGCATTTCTTATTCATCGTGTCTTTCTTTATCTCTTTCTAATTTATCAGTTATTTCATTTCTCTTTTCTATTTATTTTTTTATTTTTATTCATTTTATATTTCCCTCTATCTCGTTCTTTCTTTCTTTCTTTCTTTCTTTCTTTCTTTCTTTCTTTCTAGTTCATCAGTTATTTCTTTTTACTTTATTTTTTATTTCTGATTAATCGTTCCTTTCTTTTTCTCTTTCTCTTTCTTTCATTCTTTCTAATTCACCAATTATTTTTCTTTTATTTCTTATTCATCGTTTCTTTCTTTTTCTATTTCTTCAGTTATTTCATTTTCTTTATTTTTTATTTATTACTCACCGTTTCTTTATTCCTTCATTTCATTCTTTCGTTTTTTATTTCTTATTCATCGTTTCTTTCTTTCTTTCTTTCTTTCTTTCTAATTCATCAGTTATTTCTTTTTCTTTATTTTCATTGCTTATTCATCGTTTCTTTTTCTTTCTTTCTTTCTTTCTTTCTTTCTTTCTTTCTTTCTTTCTTTCTAATTCATCAGTTATTTTTTTTCTTTTATTTTCATTGCTTATTCATCGTTTCTTTTTCTTTCTTTCTTTCTTTTTTTCTTTCTTTCTTTCTTTCTTTCTAATTCATCAGTTATTTCTTTTTCTTTATTTTCATTGCTTATTCATCGTTTCTTTTTCTTTCTTTCTTTCTTTTTTCTTTCTTTCTTTCTTTCTTTCTAATTCATCAGTTATTTCTTTTTCTTTATTTTCATTGCTTATTCATCGTTTCTTTTTTCTTTCTTTCTTTTTTTTTTCTTTCTTTCTTTCTTTTCTAATTCATCAGTTATTTCTTTTTCTTTATTTTATTTTTATTGTTTCTTTTTTTTTCTTTATTCTTTCTTTTTCTTTTTTCTTTCTTTCTTTCTTTCTAATTTCAGTTATTTTTTTTCTTTATTTTCATTGCTTATTTCGTTTTTTTTTTTTTTCTTTTCTTTTTTTCTTTCTTTCTTTCTTTCTTTCTTTCTTTCTAATTCATCAGTTATTTCTTTTTCTTTATTTTCATTGCTTATTCATCGTTTCTTTTTCTTTCTTTCTTTCTTTTTTCTTTCTTTCTTTCTTTCTTTCTTTCTTTCTAATTCATCAATTACTTCTCGTTTCTTTCTTTTTTTATTTCTAATTAATATGTTCTTTCTTTCTTTTCCTTTCTTTCTTACTTTCTCAATGCATCATCCTGTTTCCGCCTCCGCATCGTTGTTCGTAAAGAATACGATTAATTTTTTTTTTCTTCTTATTTCATTCTCTATTTGAAAATAGGAAACGCCAAATCTGTTCAAATATCTATCCAGGGGTGGGGGAGGATATCTGTTCAAGGATACTTATAAAGAAAGCGGCGGTCTACAAATGAAAGGAAAGAAAAAGAAAAAAAATGGCGGAACAAAATCCCTAAGATAAAAGATGCAACAATCAAAGATTATTCCCATGAATGACAAAACGTTCTCTGAAAAAGCCCAGATGACTCAGCTTAACGTAAATAAAGAAAAAAAAATGCTTTCCCTCAAATACTTATATTAATTGCATGAACCAGACATATCTACATGCGTGGATACTGAATAGTCCTTTACCAGACCCACTTTAAAGATATCTGGCCAAATGCAGAAGTATCGGCCTTTTTTAATAACTTCTTAGTCAGGCTGAGAATTTTTCAGCTCTCTCTAAAATATATGAGTAATTGAACGACAAATGAAAGAGGAATCTATATTATTCGTTTCATTTTTCGATAGTAAAAAAGAACAGTGTTAAAAAACAAATAAACAAACAAAGGCTGTAGATATTTGAACAAAGGCGACCGGGTTGCGAGTCTAGGTATAAATTTCAATTTTGAGTCTATCATCCCACCATATCCAGTATTTCTCTTGTTGTATAATTATAAGCAATATTTGCTGTATTTCTTTCCATTATATATAGAGGAATTCCATCAATAAAAGCATTATTTAAGACGAAGAAATCCTTTTGAAGGATGAAAAACATAAGATGGGCATTTTATATTTTGTCGTTCAGCTATCTAACAATAGTATATAGATTATACATGAATATCTTATCATATTCCCCCCATATATATATATATATATATATATATATATATATATATATATATATATATATATCCTGTTAGCGATTTGCAAAAAACCAACATAGTTTACAAATTCAAGTGCCCTTTGGGAGATTGTATCTTCAATGTATTAAATAATATTTATGTTGGTCAGACCACAGACTCGCTTTCACGACGCTTGACTCTACATTTGAATGATAACTAACATTTTTAGGCATTTAAAACAACATGCCTGGCCGCATACACAATTCCGGAAAATCCTCGTTGAAAACACAACTATACTTAAACATGAAAACAATAAACAAAAGCTAAAAATTCTTGAAGCTATATACATAAAACAGTTGAAAAAACTAACCTGAGAAAAATAAACTATGAAATCTCCACAAATATTGTTAAATGCCTATAATTGATAACGGAAGGCATTAGTTTATATCAACGGCTTCCCATACGTAACACTTCTCGTTTTCACTCTCGCGTGGTCATGTGCGAAGTCACGAGCTGCGGTGCGATTTTCGCTTTCGCGTCTCGTATACACGAGTTTGTCGTTGCTTGGAAATCTTTCATGCAACAAAAACAGACTATCATTATTGTTTTGTCTGTGTATTGTCTAATATATTGAAATGTAATTATCATCTTTGATAGTGGCTTACGTAAGACGAAAGCTTAGGATTAAAACGTATCAATATAGTGATTTTCTTTCATCTTTCAATGATAATATTGTTAAGCTTATCAGACAATATAAAAGGAATTTACTTAAAATAAATAGACAAAACTTGTCTATATTATTTAATGAAACCTGCATCAATATATATATATATATATATATATATATATATATATATATATATATATATATTTCGTCATATATATGTATATACATATGAAGAAATATAGTTTAAGTTATGCTATGTTTATGGCATAAAGTGCTCCACATCAGAGACAGAGCGTATGTAAATATAAACGTGAATATTCAAAAGTCAACACTCAGAAGCGACAGACTGCTTCATGCTAAACGCCATCATCAGGTCAAGGGGAAAGGCGTGGCTCTTGGGTCACAATCCGTTCGGTTATGAATACTTAAATCTGTATCACCACGGAATTTGTGAGGAGCGGCGCTATATCGAGTCTATTCAGTTTTGTCTTCGCCAACGAGGCACGTTGGTACATTTGTTATGACGCTTGCGTTGCATCGAAACAGTCCGGGTTCGAATTTCGGTAGTGGATGTCCACTGCTGATGAGTCCCAAAATGGAACGAAACGCCGTGCAATGGTTTCTGCATTCTGTCGAGATTACTTCTAGACCCGATGAATTATATATATATGTATTGTTTTTGCAACATCATCACTTGATAAGACACCGGGAGTGTTGTAACACAATGGCTATTTTTGTAGTGATTTTATAACATTGTATTGAGCACTCTTTTAAGAATAGTAATTGTTGGTTATTGGAATTCATTCCGTATACACCAATTATATACTTGGGTATATATATATATGAATAAAAGTGGTAAGAGCCGACAGTCTG